GTACATGCACCTCAACTCCTTCCCACCGCTTCCTTTCCTTGGAGTTCCCAGCCTCCTCCTTCCTCCCAGATACCTGGCCCCTCACTGAAGGAGTCCTGTCAGTCCCTGCAGTATCTCGAAAACCCTGCTCCCAGAGCTCTGATCCTCCCCCCACACTTGTCCAGTGCAGACACGTTACTGGGGGGCCTGACCCCCCCCCCCAGGCTCAGTTTAAAGTCTTCTGGACGAAGCTTGCTAGAGCATCTCCAAAGGGCCTGTTCCCCATCCTCGTGAGGTGTAAACTGTCCCTTGCCAGAAGTCCATTGGCAAGAAACCGGGTGCTGTGGTCGAGGAACCCAAAGCCTTCCTTCTGGCACCACACCCTAAGCCAGTCGTTCACCTCGGAGGCCCTCCTGTCCCTTCCTGGCCCAAATCTCCGGACAGGTAAGATTGAGGAGAAGGCCACTTGGGCCTTCAGCTCCCTGAGTTTCTTCCCCAAGGCCTCAAAGTCTCTGGTGGTCCCAACCACACCCTGCCTGGCCACATCATTTGTGCCCACATGGCTCACGAGGAGCGGCTGGTGACCCCTGGAGCGAACAAGATGCTCTACTCTGTCCATCACATGCTGGATGCGTGCGCCCGGCAGGCAGCAAACCTCCCTTGTCTCCAGGTTGGGGCAGCACACCGCCAGCTCAGTGCCCCTCAACAGGGAGTCCCCAACAACAATCACCCACCGCCGTACCTTTCCGGTGCTGGTGGGCGGCCGTGTCCTGGCCCTCACCTCTCCTGCAGCGACCCCCTTGCCGCCTGATGTCTCAGGCTGGGGGTCCTGCTGGTCCCCCGAGGCCTCATCAGCCCCAGCCTCCCCAAGTGGGGAGCAGCATTTTAAATGTTAATGTTAAATGTTAATAATATTGAATTTTATTTGGCCAGGGCGGCTTATTTTATTCTAATGTATATATTTTAATTGTTGTTGTTTTAATATATTGTGTATTTTATTCTATGCTGCGAGCCGCCCCAAGGCTTCGGCAAGGGGCGGCATAGGAATGTTTTAATAAATAAATAAATAAAGGCAGAGAGAACCTGTTTCCCAGCTCCAGATTGGTGCCAGGAGAAGCAGGAGGCCGTGCTGGCCTCATTCTCCTGTGGGTGACATACCTCCATGTCTCCGCAGCTGCTCCTCCCATGGCCTCTACTTATCTGCAGTGTTTCCAGTTCCAGACACTGATCTACATGTGGCCAAGGAGTCTCCCCTCATTACCTCTTGGAAACATTCCACCAGAAGAAACTGGAACCAAGCTGAAGCAGCACTTCCAGGGTCAATCCTGGCAAAGCAACCCAGCAGGATACCCTTGCTTCTCGCATTGGTGGCTGCTGTGATTATCTGTCAAAGAGACCTATTCTCTTTCTATCCCATAAGCTGCTTTGAAGCTGAAATGAAAGCTACCTCCTTGAATGTCTTCCATGAACACAAGTCTGATGGTGTTTCCCTCACCATTGACAACACCACCTTGGCTTATCAGGATAGGATATTACTGGGCAGGGGATATTACTGTTTCTATGTTCTGGCACCAACAGCTTCTATGTTCTGGCACAGTCAGAACTTTGCTCTGCCCTTCATGAACACCTTCATTCCCTTCCCTCACAGAATTCCTAGATGATGATATCTCCGATGACATTGAATGTGCTAAGTAAGTTGCGGACTGCAAGAGAGGGATGTTGTCTTGGTATAAGTTCTTTTCTTCTAAGAACAAACAGGCAATGGTGTTGAAAATTTTACTGAAGAGAAGGCTGCCAAGCGCTCCTTAACTACAAGCAGCCTGTAAACCTGGGTGTAAAGAAGTAGAAAAGGGAGGGAGTCAAAGTAAGGAGTTACAGGACAATAAAGGGAAAAATAAGATAGGCAGCTGTTGATTTCTGCAACAAAGGAGGAAGGGAAACACGTCCCTTCCCTGATTGATACAGTTCCAATAGATTTCACAAGTCTTCCCTCCCTTCCTCTCTTCACACACACACGCTGCGAGCAGTTACGATTTTCTTTTAATATAACACAATGCATTCATATCAACATATCAACAGTGCTTTCTTTGGGGGGAAAAAAAAGGTGCCAGAACTCACGTCTTGGGGTCACACTTTTACACAATGGTCGCCGCCAGCAGTAAGCACTCAGCACGTGACCATACAACCAATTCCAAGCCAAGCAGCGTCCCAAGCCGAGCAGCGCCCTCACAATCAGTGCCGACACACAAGCAGCCCGCAGGCACTGTGTTAATGATTTTTGCTGCCGATCTGCTACACCCAACAGGGCAATTCAC